ATTGAAACTATGGAATTCTGTGAAACTTGTGTCTTGGGTAAGTCCCATAAGGTGAGCTTTGAAACTAGCTCTTATAGGACCAGCAGACCATTGGACTATGTCCATGCTAATCTATGGGGCCCGGAGAAGCACTCCACATTTGGTGGAAGCAAGTACTTCTTGTCCTTAGTGGATGATTACTCAAGAAAAGTTTGGATTTATCCTTTGAAGGCTAAGTCGGAAACTTTTGGGAAATTCAGGGTTTGGTTAAAGTCTGTTGAGAATCAGTTAGACAAGAAACTTAAAACATTAAGAACTGATAATAAGCTTGAATTCTGTAATATCGAATTTGACAACTTCTGTAAGCAGAAAGGTATAACAAGACACAGAACTGTTAAATACACACCTGAACAAAATGGGGTCGCTGAAAGAATGAACAGGACCATAATGAACAAAGTTAGGTGTATGTTATTAGCTCTGGCCTTGCGAAAGGTTTTTGGTCTGAAGTTGCAAGTACTGCAGCTTATCTGATTAATAGGTCTCCGTCCAGCAGTATAGGGTTTAAGACCCCACAGGAGTTGTGGACGGGAGAGCCTCCAAATCTAGAACACTTGAGGGTGTTTGGATGTGCTGCATATGCACACCAATCTGAAGGGAAACTTGAGCCGAGGGCTGTCAAGTGTGTGATGTTAGGGTATCCCGAGGGTGTGAAGGGCTATAAGTTATGGGTTTTAGGGGTCCAAGGCATTAAGATTATTAACAGCAGGAATGTAGTCTTTAATGAATCTGAGATGCCATGTCTAAAACAGAAAATCGAAGAAACTAACAAATCTGAAACTGAGAAGAGTATTCAAACTGAGGTGAAGCTGACTATGCTAAATTCACTTACACCTGGGAATGACGAAAATGACCCTATACATCATGAAAATGAAATTGAAATTGAAATTGAAATTGACCCGAAGAGGTGACTAAACTTCAAGATAACATTGAACCAGTTGAAGTTGAACATTTTAATGATCAGCCATCTAATCAAGATTATCAGCTCACTAGGGATCGGGGGAGGAGGCAGATCAGGCCAAATCCTAGATATGAATCCCTAAACTTGACTGATTTCGCCTTGGTTTCAGGTGAAGCCCTTGAACAGATAGAACCTGCTAGTTATGAAGAAGCTGTTAATGGAAAATGTTCTGAAAATTGGCTAAAAGCTATGC